CAAGAGCCGTTGAAACAGACTCGTCCTTCATCGTGCTACACTCTGGAACTTTTGAAAGAATCGCATTCCGGCATCGCGCAGGTCAGACGCTCTTCCTCTCTGATCCCATTGATACAGCCCAATGTAAAGATCCCGCGTACGGTGCCATCCAGATAGGACTCTTCATATGCATCCTTAATGATATTCGTGATCGAACCCTTCAGCTCATCGCGGAGGAAGAGAAGGGGACGCGTGCGAAACGTAAACGCGATATTTTACCTGCTGACAGCAGGAAGCGTCCAAGAACTAGAGCGAGTGTTGCCTTCGAAGAAGCATATAAACTGGAGTATGAAAAAAGCTTGAAGGTGTGTCGTTATATTTGTAAACATTGTCTACTTCTGTCTGAGAGTCGGTTATTAGGCTGTGCTCAAAGGCCTCACTAATCGCAAGCTGGCGTTATTGCGGATCCAGCATGGACCATACAAATCTTCTGTGCCATCATCATTTCTGAAAGTTAACGGGGCCAATGGTGCGCCTCAACGGAAATATAGACCTGATGAATATTTTCATGTGACCATTACCTCCAAAATTGCCTACGGCACGACAGGCGACGTCCATGCAGCCACCGTTGAATTACCTGTTCCAGGTGGAAAAGACATTTCTTTCCCAAGCGCCGTCGTTAAGCTTGCATTTGATGATATTCAGAAAAAGAGGTTACGGCATGAGTACCACGTTTATGGTCGTTTGATGTCAAAAGATGCTCACGGAGTTCCTTGTATCTTTGGCTTATATGAAGATATCGAAACCGAAGCATTGGCTCTTGTCATGGAGAACGCTGGTTCGACTCTTTGGGACTGTAGACTCCCTGATAAAACGGAACGATGCAAGATAACTATTTCAGCCGCTGAGAAGTAAGCATCGTGCCCTCTTCTCTATGATACTTACTCATTCTTGTATCAGGGAAGGTTTCGTAGATGCTCTCCAATCCATCCATAATCATCAGGCGTCCGACACCGCGACCTGAGGATTGAAAATCTTACCATTAACCATGCAGGGCGCCCATGCGTCATTGATTTCGATCGCGCCGAGTTAGACCCCAGTGAGCGATCCCTTGCGCGCGAGCGCAAAGTATTCCTGGGCGTGCTTGATGGGAAATATGAGATGTGCCTTTCCCGTGGAACGAAGGATTCAGGTGGCTCGTCAGATTCGAACGAATCCTTTCATTCGGATGATTTCGATTAGTCGTTTAAGTTTCTGGGGAACATGTGAAATGCGCGAGATTTTCCATTATGTACTGGACTTCTGACAAAATACCTTGTAGTGTAGAACACTAGGATGCGGTATGTAACTGTTGAATCTAATTAAGATTTTTCTTTAGTTTTCGGGTAGACAGGAGGATTTTTTTATCTAAGTTTCTGGCGTCTAGGGGTTGGGGGTGATAGTATCATATCTAGCTTTATGAGCTCATGTTCCATTTCCTTCGCTATATTAGATGGCCTTGGGCCTATATTTCCTTGGGGGTTGTCGCGGAAGGGAGTTTTTGCGTACTCAAATCCAACAAGAGCGACATCTGTGGAGTGGGGCCGGGCTTTGCTAAACACAAACGACCTGCGGGTTAGATTTCCATGTAAGAATCCAAGCGCATGTATTTCATGCAATACAGATTTGAAACAAGCTCTGCCTTCAAAGAAATGTATCAATCAGCGTTGAAGGCAGTCACAACTCGAAACACATACTTTTGCCCTGATGTTACTTGAAAGCTTTTCTGTGATCGCATAATATGGTGGAGAGAATCTCGATTATCTTTAAGCAGAAGAGCAGCAAAGGAGGCTTCGGGATTCGATGGGTCTAACGATGGAAAGAAAGAAAAAAACATAGGCTTTGGATATTTTCGGCGGCACAAGGTTCCCATGCAGCGCTTCATATATTTCGAACTCTGATGCGAGCCTGCTTGTATTTGATATTTTTCTGGGCATCAAAATTCAAATTCTTGAATTCCCAGACTGCGAGCTCCGGAAAGACCGAATAGATAAGTCGCTGGCGTTCAGTTAAGTGATAATTATTGCCAGCTGAATCCATAGCGACGATGCTCAGAAATCCGTCCGCAACGGCCTGTGAGCGTTTGATGCCTGGTATTGCAGCTTGACAGAGACGTTCTTTGCTCCACTCGACATGCCCCGAGGCCCAGTCGTCTGTTTCGAGCTCCATCTTCGACGGTGTTGATGAGGTCCGGAAGAATTCCAGGTAGTTTGACGACGTGTTTGAGCCTCAACTCCTCATGAAGGTGTTTATCAAAATCTCCGGGTTTCCGAATACTAGTTGCCATGGTATGATATGGAGCTTCGGCCATCAGTACGCGGGACGGCTCCTTGGCAAAAAAATGCCTCAATTTGACGTAAAACTGAGGAAAAGGTGAGACTAGGATTATTGAAAGGAAAGACTTCGCGTTTATCAGAAAACTGTAGTGGAGGAGAAACGCGCTGACGCCTGGAGTCAAGTCTACGGGCCATAGCGGTGATGATATGGGCGTGATAGGTCGTCAAGAGCGAATGGCCCCATATACCTTACTCATCCCGCCTGCTGTTCCATCTACCTAGCTCCCTCTCAAGAGCGCCACGCACTCCCTTATCATTAGCGCACAATTGGTCGACATTCCGTGAAGATCATAGCTCTTTCGTTCTTGAATCTAGATGTAAGGCACTACGCACAAGTTGAGTGGGTCCAATTCTGAAACAATTATTCCGTATGAGGGGTCTTAGTTGCTTCGAACATAGATAGCCCAGGACCAGTCTCTTCGATTTAACGAAGTTCAAGTAGATCTTTGTGGCTGGCCATCAGTCCTACTTTAAACTTCGCGCACTTGCTTAAGTACTAGGATGCCGTATATCGCCAAGATGTGGGACAAAGAGTATTCCAGGAAGCAGCGAGGCGTGAGAAGAAGCTCGCGTCGATAATTTCCGTTGTCTTCGTATCGCGCTGTATTAGTACAAACGCCTATACTTACTTGATTCGAAATGGGTGAGCGGGATGAAGAAGTTTATTGGGGTGGGCTGTTGAGTGAATTCTGAGTATGGGTGAGCGCATATACAAACTTGAATGTCGATACAAAACGTGCCTACATTTAAAACATGGAACATGGAGGTATAGCCATCTGCACTAAGTGGACAACGATGGGGCCACAGTACATGCGGGCACGGAGACATTTAATTGTTCGAACCTGTGCATCATAAGTCGACCTCTCCACTGGGATTATCAGAGTGGACAAGGCGCACCTAAGTATCCCCATGACCACGCTTAAAACGATAAGATATGCAGAGTCATGTCTTTCCACCGCTATGCCATCGAAAGTGGATATCAAGCGTCTCTCGGATGAGACGTAGCATGTGCATATATCCGTATCGTTTTTAAGCCAGCAGAGACGGCCCCTATGTAGAGAATGAATTTCTGCCGCCACGAAGGCAGAACCAGGTCGTTCATCTTCAAGACATCCGTTAGTTCTAATCGTTGAGCTAGAGCCAGTTCCTCGATTTAGCATGGTACAGCTTCCACATAAATGGTTTCGACTTGGAGCATCTGTACTCTCTAGGACACGCGAAGGAAAAGAATCCAAGCATAAGCCTGTGAAACTGATATCATGGCCTTTTTACACATGGGTGCTCCAGAATAAAAATAATACTATACAGAACCGGGAAACGCGCCATCTCGCCAACTTCCCAAAACATGTGTCAAACTATTGCTCGCCTTCCTCCTTCTTTATGTGTTTCTCGATATCCGCGAGATAAACAAGCAGTTCCTACAGAAGGAATTAGGGTGATATACCAGGATCAATGCATGAAAGACATACGTTATTAGTTGGTTCGTAGGACAACCCAAGCCTCACAGCGTCCGCCGCTTCAGAAAGCCTATGAAGGCCCACCAGAGCCTTTGCTTTCCTGAAGTGCCCCTTGCTCCATTGTCTCTTTACTTGAATGACGGCATCTGCATCTGCGAGGGCGGAGATGTAGTCTCCCGCTTCGGTGAAAGTAGCGGAACGGTTAGAGATGATAGCAGAGAGTTCTTCGCGTAGGATTTGGTTGTTTTCCCATGCGGGGCGATTACAAGCGAGGTTGGCAGCCGCAGTGTAGCGATTCAAAGCAGCAGCGTGGTTTCTGCTCTTGAATAATGCCTGAACAACGTCGCATGAGGAATTAGGTTTCAGATAACAACAGTTAACGCGTACATTTCCTTCATCTTTTGTTGCAGTCACCATTTGCGTTAGTTTATGCGATACAACGTTGGCGGGCGGTGGGCAAAGGAGACTTGGGTTGTTTGCGAGAAGAGTTGCGAGGCGGTTAAGATTGAAGAAATCTACGCCACAAGGTTCGCATTTTTCGAGACGGTGCGCGGAGCAGTAGGTGGTATGTCGATCATCAGAAAGCGATAGAGCAACAGGCCGGAAGTCTGCCTCGATGAGGGCTAGGAGGGCGGGGTCTGGTGTTGGCATCATGGGTGACTGTGGCGACTGTGGTGTCTGTGGAGGTGAATGGGAATGGGAGTGCTCTTCCCCTGGCGCATGGGAGTGTGAATGGGACATGGTATTGGCAGAGGACCTGACGTGACGTGACGATTTGGACTCGAGCTTGCTCTGCCACGTCTGGTTAATCATTTGTTTGTCTCACATGCCAATGACAAACACCGATCACCCCTCCTCCTGCCCCGTCGAAGAAAAATTCTGAAAAGCAAGTCCGTATAGCCCACCGCGAGGGTCGAACTCGCAGCCTTCAGATGCCTGGCCTACTGCGTAAGAGTCTGACGCTCTATCCGATTGAGCTAGGCGGGCACAGAGGCCACGGCAAGGGTGTTTATTCGGTTCGTGAAGAATTTGATAGACTATACAAGTATGTAAGGTAAAAAATTACACGAGAATACAGGGATTGTTCAATGAAAACAACAATAGATGAGGTAGGTGGGTAACTGTAATATAAGATGGTATTGTGCCTATACTCAGTAGGATGTAGAAAAAGAGGGTGCTCCTGGAACATAGCCCACCGCGAGGGTCGAACTCGCAGCCTTCAGATGCCCTTCCTTAAAAGTCTGACGCTCTGGCCGATTGAGCTAGGCGGGCAGTGAAGGAAATGAAGTGTGGCATCGGTAAAACCTCGGGCAAGTCATCTGTTACATAAGCGATCGAAAAAATTGAACTCGGTTAAGCGTTGCGCCACCGCGGGAGTCGGATGGAAATAAAAACTGCTGTGAAAAACTTTGTCCATAGCCCACCGCGAGGGTCGAACTCGCAGCCTTCAGATACACCTGCCAATAGGAGTTTTCACTGCTGAGGTATACAGTTAGGCAAAATACCAGTGTCGATTGGGAGAGCCCACAGGGCCAATCCCGGCACAGGTTATGTATTCGCTATCTGGTTACGGCACGTAATAAAGGGAGAGGAGGGTGGGTAGCAAGAAAATATACGAGTATTCGCGAGACTGGAGAGCAGTCAGCTCTATAACCCGCCCATAAGTAACCCTTCACTCACCTGGAGAGCAGTCAGAAGGAAACAAGTCGACGAGACATGTTCCAGACAATTCTGCTCTCCAGGTTCACTTCCCACGTGGATCGCGAATCCTCACTCCTATTGACCTTATACAAACATAGCTTGAATTCGACCAATAGGAGTTTTCACTGCTGAGGTATACAGTTAGGCAAAATACCAGTGTCGATTGGGAGAGCCCACAGGGCCAATCCCGGCACAGGTTATGTATTCGCTATCTGGTTACGGCTAAATCCCTATAAAATGAGGAACGATAAGCACCAGATAACGAAGATTACTTCTCCAACAGAATATGCCTCCTCGCTCTCGCAAAGGCGTGAATTAGGATTGGGTTTTTCCTAATGTATCGAAACCACGCATTCGAATTCCATCTTCCAGTGGCCTGTATCAGATGAGGGTCGACACCCCTCTGCGCTAACTCGGTTGCGCCACCCGCTCTGAGTGATTGTCCCGCGACATCCTTGGAGCAAAACTTTCTCAACCTGGTAAGGAAGAACGATCTCGTCGGATAGGAACCATCTTCTCTAAGCCAAAGTTCTCTGCGGAGGTAAAATCTCTTTCTCCTGCATTCAATATATCGGTTGAAGTATGTGAGAGCGTGTGGGGATTGTACGTCTCTATGGATTACCACTCTATTCCCCTCGAAGTACGGATCGACTTTGTTCGCTGGTAGCAGGAATTCGTAATGTTCTCGAGAGACTTTAACAGTTAAGATCGAGATCCTGCGCCTCCAATCCTTTAGGGAATCTACATCGGAGTCTGTTAACTCACCGAGTCGCAGCAGACCGTAGAAACCAGTGTAAAGCATCGCGAGGAATAAAATATCGTCGTGCAATGTTGAAGTGCCATAAAAATCCGCCATGCGCTGTAAATCGTCGATTGTCAAAGCTCGTTTTCTCTTGATAGGACAGTCGAAGACAACCCTTTAAGGAATTTCGAACAAGGGCAGACGACCGCATCGCTCGTATGTCTGGATAGAATCCCTCGAGATGGTTTACTATTCCAGTGAGATATTTTGTGACAGACCTCGGCTCGATATAATGGCTCATGTAGACAGCATAAAATGCAAGAGTCTCGGCTGTCGGTCGAAAGGGTAATTTGTGCATATCGATGAATTCAACATATGATTTTAGGGCTGAATCATACGACAAACGCGTCGAGTCTGCTATGGATGCTCCCAATGCCACCGTCAATTCTCTCCTCAACTTCTCCTGAGGCCAAGGTTCTCGAATTTTCACCGAGGCCCCCGTCAACCACCCAATCATTTCTCCTCTACCCCCAGCAACGATTGAGGGGGCTGAAAGTCCACAATAGAAAGTCCGGGACAATATTCCCTAGCGTCGTTCAATCTTTTGCGTGATAGATGGTCGGCGACGACGTTTACTTCGCCGGGAATATGTGTCACTCTCAGAATGTGATTTCCGGAGACCATGATGTCGACGACGAAACGAAGGATAGGGTTGTACATGGGCTTAGCATGCAGAGATCCAAAAATGCAAACTGAGTTTGCACTGTCCGTACGGACGACGACTTTCTGAGGATGTCGCTCGTAACGCACGGCTTCATAGAATGCACACGCCACGGCCATGGCTTCCAAATAGAAGGTTAGCCCTGAGTCGACAGGTTTCCCGAAGGAACAATAGAAGCCGCGGAGGTCGCTAGGGATCCAAAAGCCTAACCCAGTTGGACAGGCATCAGCCTCGAGAATTATATCCGCTTCCCAGTCATCCCATGCCAACGAGTTTAGGAGTCTGACTCCCGTAGAATTTTCTATCAAGCGAGCACCCCACAGGAGATCGCTCGTGATAGCATTATTACACCAGACTTTGTTCTTTGAATCGTCTGAGATAGAATTGATCTTTGCGTAGACATTAGCCAACGAGGGTGCTGCCAACGGAAAGACATTAAGGCCCCAGTTAACCCATCCGGCTAGCTTTTGCCATTGACGCTTGGTATGCCTTCGTCGTTCAGCGTAGTACTTCATTTCGGCTACGAGTTCGGCCTTCGCGACGTCGTTGAGTGTCATGGTCATCGCGTTTGGGTCGACTTCGATTCCTATAATAGTAAGAACTTCTCCTGATACTTGTTTGGATGGTTTGTGTGGCACGCCCAATTCGTCGCAAAGGTAAAGGAATTTCGCTTGCGACGTTGGCATAAACCTCTGGTATGGTGCGTAGTAAGTCTCGTCTCCCCTTTCATTCGCACCATATGAATCATCATTGAAACAAAAGGGATCGAGAACCTCCTTTACGTGCTTTGCGATCCACAGGACCAAGCAGCACACAGAGCACCAACAATTCATGGACGCCCTGCCTCCAAAACAATTGCACCGATCAACGTGGCGCTCACCGTCGACGGTCACGATCTGTTTCATCTGCCAAATGGGATGCATTGGACAGAGTCTATAAGCCTCTTTAACATCGGATTTCCACAAGACAAGGGGACCGTCGTAGTCTTCGCGAATTTTAAGTAAATATTCAGCGAAGTGGCGCATATTGTCCAGTGGTAAGCCAGAAATATCGTCGTAAGGAATGAGAGAATTTAATGAATATTCTCCAAAGGATTGGTTTGTGACCAGCCGTAAATCGTTAGATTTTGGTTTTGGTACTGCGTGAATAGGCGAGCTGTACATTCCAGGGAGAAGGTGTCGTCCAAAGGAAGGCGAAAATCTTCCTTTTTCTACTTCAATATCACGCTGAGCACGGAGGAATTCAGCTTCGGCAGGATTTTCTGGAGTCGGAAAGGACATGTCATGGATAGAGGGATACTCAGGTGGTACAGGCTTCGCATATGGCCAGAAACCCTCTCGCAACGAGCGCAGAACAGATTGCACGAAGGATTGATTAGGATGGGAGACCAAATATTTCTCGAACACATCGACCTTTAAAGGTGTTACAATGCGAAAGAGGTCTGGATTGGCTTGTATTGTTTCCCAGTATGTAGGATTATTATATTCTTCTGACGGAACGTCGGGTAAGGGCGATGCAAATTCGGACCATTGAACAGTAGTGGGTTTCGTATAAGGTGCTTCCAGGGAGTAGTAGTTATAACGCAAGTATTTAGGCTTGTTGAGCAGGATTGCCTCTGTTCTCGACGTTCGTTGGGCAATTAAACTTTTGGTGCGCTCCTCCGCAGTTTCGACATGTGTGTTGGTTCCAACAGTTCTCGGCATCGTATGGGCACCCTGCTCTGGTATTCCATCGTTTGCAACTTCTGTTTCTCTGTCGCTTTGATGCAACTGCTCCACCTCCACCACCGGGCGGTCCACCAGGATTGGAAACGTTTCCTGCGGCTGTATAGAGGTTACCGTGGAGGATAGCGTCTTTGAGGTCATCGAAGGCGAGTTTGTCGGATAGGAGGATGTGTATCCCTGCTCCTGATCGTCCGCGTACCGCCTTGTCGAACTGCAGTACTCTGAAATGCTCGCTCGTCTGCCTCGCGTTGAAGAGGCTAACGATCCAGTCCATGTACTCATCCCATTCTTCTGCTCTGGAAGGGAACGCGAATCTAAGTGCTCGTCCGTATGCTCTAGCTGCAATTCCCCACTGTCCGTCCGTCTCCACTTTGCGGATGGGTTTTGACTGGCCAAGAACAATTTCATGGTCTCCAATACGGCCTCGGTTCTCTTGAGGAGGTCCGACATGGTGGAGTGTGGATATAATGGTGTCGAAGCAGGCGAGTTCTCCTTTGAGAATCTTTTCCCATTCTGACTGGGGGAAGTCTCTGGGCAGGTGTGGCGAGAGCAACAAGTCTCTCTTGCTACTCCTTGGATTTCTGCTGTATCGCCTGAAGAACTTCCTGTTCTCTGCGCACCTGGGGTCGAGTGTAGACTGCTTAGCATGTTTGATCGTGTTCCATGCCATCTTAGATCGTTTGAAAGACTTCTTTTCCTTTTCTTTGTCGCTGCTGGAATCGTCTGAGCTAGAACTTTCGTCGCTACTGTCGTCTCCGGGGTCTGGATCGTTTCCGGCTCCTCTACGACGTCCATATATTGCGTCTCGTATGAAGTTGTCGGTTTCCCTGTCGATACCTCTGGCATCACTTCGGTTATCATTTCCATGGTTACCCCGTTGGGGTTCGTCGTGGCGCTGTTCCCCGATAGGTGAAGATCCAATGGTTCCTGATCGATCGGGATTTGAGGAGGTGGCGTCTTCTGGTGCGTTTGGCTCTGTAGCTCGAGACCCAGCCTGGAGGCGAGACTTGTGACGTTTGTCGATGTCTTCGAGCTGCTCGTAGTAGCTGTGTAGTTGGTGCATCTGGGAATGCTCGGTGAGGCCGGTGTTTGTAATCGCAACAGCAATGCTGGTGCTGGCGGCGGTCTTTTCGATTTTCCCTTTCTCGAAATCCCTGATGAAACCTTCGATTTTCGAGATAATGTCTCGCTCGGGGCCGACGACAGACGCTCCAGTAATGTTGCTGGATGATGCTCCAACTGGATTCTCTCTGCTAATGTTTGACTCTTGCCTTTGTGCAGTTGGACTTCCTTCTGCGTCAGATGCCGGTTCAGAAGCTCGACGCTCGCTGGCTTTTCCATGTCGCGTCATAGGTTTTATGAGGAGGAACGACGATGAATGGAA